ACGCCTCTGGATGACGCTGCTTGTCGGCAGCATTTCGGCGGTGACACCTACTGAGGTTGCCGCTTGTCGGCAGCATTTCGGCAGATGCTCGTCCGCTGCCACAGTCCTCCGTGGCTCGTCGTCTGGTGCCCGCCAGACGACAAAGGTTGGGGACCACTGCACTAGCCGCTAGAACTACTGTATATTCCAAGAAAGAGTGATTAATAGGCACAATGCAGTTCTGATAGTCAAAAGTGCAATTTATCACAAGGGTGTGCAATTTGTCACATTCACATCCCCATCACGTGTGAGTATGAGAGACCCAGATTTTTAGAAAAATATATAAGCATTTGGCACACAAAAATGCAATGCAATGAGCCCAATTTTCATGTCTTGTTAACATGATTTCATACTGTTATTATTTATTGCTTGTATTACAGTAACACCTAGAGACTCCCACCAAGAATGGAGCCTATTGTGCTAGGCTCTGTACAAACGCACATACAGTCCCTTTCCCCCCAAAGATCTTGTCGTCTAAGTGGATAGACAAAGGTGGGGAGGGGAAACAGTGGCAAAGTGACTTGTACAAGTTCACATAGCAGATTAGTGGCAGAACTGAATTAAGAATCCACATCTATTGACTCCCAGTCCAGTGCCCTATCCACTACATCACCCTGCCACCCCTTATACCGTGCTGTAGCTTTTATCCCAAAGAATCTGTGTTGGGGTGTCCTCCCCACACAGACCTGAAAGGGTTATGGTGGCCAGGCAGGCCTATTAACTCCACAGGCTGCAACCAGAGAAAAAGCCAGGGAGCAGGGAATTGATTGAATTAAGGTTCAGCTGTGCAGGAAGAGGCAGGGCCTATAAAGCCAGGAAGCTGACAACAGACAGGCTGCTACTGGGAAAGAGCAGTCACTCTCTCGGAAGAGGGAGGGGGGTTTGGAGCTGGTACTCCCAGGGAAGGGGGAACTAGCAGTCCAGGGAAGGAGCAGTGAGAGCTGGGAAACTAAAGTCCAGAACTACTGGGTTGTGTGTCCCTGGACTGGAATACGGAGTAGAGAGAGGGCCCAAGTTCCCCTACCAGCCACTGAAGGAGTGGCACTTGACTGCCTAGGACTGCTGAAGGAAAGAACTGAATGTACCCCAAAACGGGGGGAAGCTGAGTGACTTGGCGAGAGGGGTGAGTCATGAAGAGAACACTGCAGTTCCTGGAGTGAGAGAGGACCTCCAGACCAGAGAGAGAGAGAGACGGAGTAACGATGTGCAATGGCGAGAAGGGGCGTTGACCTCACGTAGTTAATCCCCAGAGCAGCCAGGGGGAAGCATCACAGTAGCAGTGAGTGGGGCACCCCATCACAGGATCCCAAAGTGCTTTACAAATTATATTCAGATAGCCCCACAGAAATTCAGCTACCTGACACTACATAACAGTAATGGAGAGGGGAAATTTTGGCCAATGGTACCAAAGACCCCTACTCTTAAGAACTGTGGAAACATTCAAGTTCACATAACAGACAAAATGCTGGTGATTGAAGTCTCATCAAAAGACCCAGGCTAACAATAAACCTCATGGAGTTCAGTTTATTTGCTTCTAAATGACGAAGAGTTCATTCACTCCTACCGGGATTGGAATCTATGGTTCCAAGGAGTCAGTGTTTTCACACCTTATTGTTATTTATTATTTGTATTTTAGTAGCACCCATCATATGCTAAGCAATGGCCATGTACAGGAAGATAAGGTGAAAGTGTTTGTGCCCACAACAGCACATTCTCCTCCAGAGCCTGTAAGGTTACGTCTACACTACAATTAAAAACCCGCAGCTGACTTGGGCTCGCGGGGCTCAGGCTAGGTGGCAGTTTAATTGCTATGTAGATGTTAGGGCTCAGGCTGGAGCCAAGCTCTGGGACCTTGCAAAAGTTTCTCTCTCACCAACAGAAGTTGGTCCAATAAAATATATTACCTCATCCACCTTGACTCTCTCACCTATTACTTCTGTCAGTTACTCTGTTAGCTCAAGTGGCAGAGATCTGTGTTGTGGATCTAAAGAATCCAACCCTGCTAATGAACTGTGTAGGACTCGGTATAGGTCCATATGATGTAATTTCTGTTTTTCAGTTTGCTGTTTCAAAATGCAAGGTAAATTATGCTACTAAAATGGATGTTAAACTATGTTTAAAAAAATATTATGGTCGCAAAGTCAGGCACTCAAAAGTCAGGCATGCAACCTTAATTCAGCCTCCTTGTGCATATACAGTATGATACAGTCTTTAATTACGTGACTATGTATTATTTTTTCTAAATGGCCCCTGCCTCATTTGCAAGTTAACTGAAAACCTGTAAAGGAAGCATTCATAAGATGGAGGTATTTGAATATGTCATAGATATTCAAAGCAGGAGAAATGAACCTACCCCAGTAAACTGACAGCCATCTGTAGCCTCATATTATTACTATATAATAGCAACAAATAAAGACTATTCAACTTTAACAAGAGCTAAACAGAACTCCTCCATGTGCACAACTTACAAGCTGTTAATATTTTGTCCACATATAAAAAAATTAGTAAATTAGCACTTCAAATGCTTATGGCAAAAAACATTGAGTAGTAGCCAATTTAAAGGTAAAAAATTTGGAGATTAGATTCAATTATTCCTGATGAGAATTCAAAAACTCATAGAGATATGAATAGCAATAAGTTTTTTTTTTTTCCCACTTGGTTATTTCACTCAAACTATTCTAAGATCCTGCTAGGTAACAAAGTAACCTGATCAGGGAGAGTAGAAAGAGCACACTACAAAACCAAATGCTATTCTATCACACTTTAATCCTGATTGTTTTCATTTTTTCCCATTAATACCATAATTAATCTTTGCACTTCTAATGCACTTCTATACGGTTCTCAAAGCACTTTACGGAGAAAAATTAAGCATGTCTCACATCTGTGTTCTATTATTATACCAATTTACTGCTATGTAAACTGAGTTAATTGGAAGAAAGAGTATGTGATTTAACCAAAACCACGAGGCAGGGGCAATGCTGGGACCAGAAACCAGGTGTCCTGATTTCCAATTCCCTTCTCTGTTAGAACAGTGGTTCTCAAAGCCGGTCCGCCGCTTCTTCAGGGTAAGTCCCTGGTGGGCCGGGCCGGGCCGGTTTGTTTACCTGCCGCGTCCGCAGGTTCGGCCCATTGCGGTTCCCACTGGCCGCAGTTCGCCGCTCCAGACCAATGGGGGTTGTGGGAACTGGCATGGGCAGAGGGATGTGCTGGCTGCCCTTCCCGCAGCCCCCATTGGCCTGGAGCGGCGAACCGCGGCCAGTGGGAGCTGCGATCGGCCAAACCTGAGGACATGGCAAGTAAACAAACCGGCCTGGCCCACCAGGGGCTTTCCCTGAACAAGGAGCGGACCGGCTTTGAGAACCGCTGTGTTAGAATATTCACTGTGCCAAAACCACTTTTCACAAATTTCTTCTGCTATAATTACTTATTAATTTAACATTATTATAGGAAACCCTTATAGTTTCAAAAGTTCATTATTTACTAAACTAATTTTTCATTTGTCATTGCCAAAAGGATACTAACGTCATTATTTTTTTCAAGCT